GGTTTGTAATATTATCTGAGTTTCATTGTGTGGATGCTGGTAAACTGATCATTAGAAGGCCAAATAAGTGCTTCTCATGTTATCTACATGCTCTCTTCACATGGCTAAACAGGTTCAGCCTGTGCGGGAGGTCAGCAGATCTGAGAGCAAACGCTATCTATTTGAGATCACAATGAAAAATGGGAAGAAGAAAATGCTGGTGAGTTAGTTTTTTTTCCCGTTGATCTAGAGAGTGTCTGTAATCGGTGTTTGAGGATGTGTTCTACCAAAAACGATCAAGAGTCATTCCAGTCCTTCGCTGGTATGTTCTGTATTCGACTTTTTCCTGTTCCACATCAGATTGCTTCAAAACAGCTTCACAGAGATAAACAGGAAATAGTCATTTCTATGAGCAATTATGGAAACTCAGCTATGGAGTTCATATATTCAGATTCTGCTGTGAAGTAGCTCTAATAGACAATAGTGTCATTATTTAGCTCAATTCAGTTCAGATCAATAAGTGTGAAGTTAATTGATCAGCTATAGGCAGTTCTACGTTAGGCAGCAATGTAGTTAGTCATGTTGATTCAGTTCAGTTCAGTACTAGTGTCAATGTTGCAGGATGCACTCTCTACAGAAAACAATAGTGCCATCATCCTGTTTAATTAAGTTAAAAGTTTTGTTCTCATCCGATTGTGTGAGTCAATGAGGTTATATCTATAAATTACTGACAGATAAGTAAGTGTCTTTCAGACCACAACTGTGCAAACCAGAGTGCAACAGTGTAATGATAAAATGGATAAAATGTCTTTATTGTATTGGAAAAACAAGTTAAAAGATTAAGAGTTAGTTTACACAAAAACTGAAAATTTAAATGTTGGTTTTTCAGATTTAATTTAGTATTTTATTCACATTTACTTAACACTGGCCAGCGCACATACTTGCACATTTTTCATTTTTGGGTGAACCATCCCTTTAAGTTATTCCCTTTAGCAGATGAAATTCCTTGTCAATCTTCTGTATGGGAAACTTCCTAGGCAAAAGAACATTTGAGATACATTTAAAGATGTCTATGTATATTCTTACAAGAATCATTCTTACCATTTTTGTCCTCAGTTGCTGATGAGACACAGGACAGTTTGCACACAGAAAATGAAATGGAGCAAAGTACTGAGGAGTTTTTACTGACGGACTATGACTACGATGTTTTACCATCTCGAAAAGGTGTTTATAATGATTTTTTTTTTGTTTAAATATAATATGGTATATTGACTGTAATGAGGGGTCAACGGAGTGAGGATCCATGTGCAACTTTATTTTAAAAGAACAGCATAAATACAGGCAGGTTCAATCACCAGTAGTCAGGGTTATCAGAAACGAGACCAAAGCAGAATCAGAGTCCAAACAACAGAGCAAGGAGATGGAGGCAGGCAGCAAACAATCGTGAAACAGGTAACAGTCTAAGGTCAAACACGGTAATCGAACAGAGTAGTACAAGGAAACACTCCAGCAAATGTCAGCCACAGCGAAGGTTGCGTGTGGAGAGCCAGACCCATTGGCCAGGAGCATACTCTGGTCTGGGACGTTGGTGACGGTCAGCCTGTTTCTTTTGTCTCCAGACAGCACGTTGCAGGCAGAGGTGGGTAGAGTACCCAAGACTGTACTCAAGTAAAAGTAAAAGTATTTATAGAAATATTTATTCAAGTAAAAGTAATAGTCTGAATAGTTACTTGAGTAAGAGTAAAAAAGTAGCGGATAAAAAAAACTACTCAAGTAGTTAGATACTAGTTATTTTGATACTAGTCTTTTATTTAGATATATAGATAACATTTATGTAATGTGTATTTGTTTGCACAGGGAGGAGGGAACATAAGTTTTGTCAGGTGGGCATTCAGCTGGAGAAGGTTTAGATTTTTGAGCCTCAGCAATCTCTGTCATGATATCCTACTGCACTGGTGCCAAGATCAGAGTGGATGGAATGATCGGATCGAGAGAGAGGGGTTGATAAGCAGACTCTTAAGGCCTTGTTTACTCTGTCAGTTAAATGTGACCCAATTCTGATTTTTTGCTCATATGTGACACAGATTGGATGTGTTCTATTACCGTGTAAACAGGAAAAAAATGCATGCATTCGGATATTTCGATCGGTTTTCAGGCCTCATTCATATGTGGAAATAAATCGGATATAAATCAGATATGTGCCAATGTGACTCATGTAAACAGGCAGATCGGATTTTCTGCAGCATTGCATTCTGTACTTCAAACTGCGAAAATTTGTTACTTTTATGAGGTTTTATGACGTCATATTATTCTCAGGGAGAAGCACGTGTGTAGGCCGTAAATGACAACAATGCAGAATTACTTCGCATATATATGTTTTTTTTACAGTCTATGCATATATCGCAGAGCTAGCATCAAGCATATTTCGCGTTTGTCCATCTTGGCTAGTGTGTGGTGCAGGAAACCCCCTTTAAGCATGCGTGATGCTATGGCAAGTGTAAACACATGAATCGGATATGGGTCACAATTGAAAGAACGTGTAAACGGACGGTCAAAAAATTGGATATAGGCAACAAATCAGAATTGTGCATCAAGACCTGCAGTGTAAACGAGGCCTTACTGATTGGATGGAGCTTCTGCTTTGGCATTCTTGGACCCTAGGCGGTAAGTTACTGTGAACTGGAAATGGGTGAAGAACAATGGCCACCTAGCCTGGCTGTGGTTGAGTCTTTTGGCGGTGTGAAGATATTCCAGGTCGCGATGGTCAGTTAGCACAAGGAATGGAAATTTTGCACTCTTCGAATGCAGCCTTCATGGCCAGTAATTTGCGATTTCCCACATCATAATTTTGCTCTGCTTTGTTCAGTTTGCGAGAGTAATAAGCGCAAGGAAAGAGTTTGGAAGGATTAACATGTGTGTATATAGCCGGAGGTGAGATTTATATTAACGTTGAGATATTTGAAGAAAGCTGTCCATACCCGAGAGGTAAACTGGCAGTTTGGGTAGCGGTATCAGACGACAGGCCTTGGAAAAACAACTGATAACAGTCAGAATGGTGGTGTTGCCCATGGAATTAGGGAGGTTGGTGATGAAATCAATGGCAATGTGTGACCATGGGTGCTGAGGGACGAAGTAAGCTTGCGAGCAATAGCTCGGTGGATTTGGTGGTATTACATGTTATGCAGTTTTGAATATATGAGATGGTATCAGCCTGAAGCGTGGGCCACCAGAACTCGTGTAAACGGACGGTCAAAAAATTGGATATAGGCAACAAATCAGAATTGTGCATCAAGACCTGCAGTGTAAACGAGGCCTTACTGATTGGATGGAGCTTCTGCTTTGGCATTCTTGGACCCTAGGCGGTAAGTTACTGTGAACTGGAAATGGGTGAAGAACAATGGCCACCTAGCCTGGCTGTGGTTGAGTCTTTTGGCGGTGTGAAGATATTCCAGGTCGCGATGGTCAGTTAGCACAAGGAATGGAAATTTTGCACTCTTCGAATGCAGCCTTCATGGCCAGTAATTTGCGATTTCCCACATCATAATTTTGCTCTGCTTTGTTCAGTTTGCGAGAGTAATAAGCGCAAGGAAAGAGTTTGGAAGGATTAACATGGCATTGTGACAGGACGGCCAGTGCTGGAGGCATCTATCTCCACTATAAATTCACATTCTGGGTCAGGATGATGCAAGATGGGTGCAGTGGTGAATTGCTACTTGGCTGGAAGTGAGAATGCTGGAAGGTACTGTTGGTTGCCGGTGACTAGAATAGACAGATTCCCCCCTCTTAATCATGGACGTTAGTGGAGCTGCAATGGAACTAAAGTCTCTGATGAAACATCTATAAAAAATAAGTTAATCCTAGAGAGCGTTGCATCTCCTTCACCGTCGTGGGTTCAGGCCAGTCAAAGACTGCTTGCACCTTGTGATCGTCCATTGCCACGCCTTCCGGGCTGATTACATATCCGAGGAATGTCATTGAAGTCTGGTGGAATTCACATTTCTCAGCTTTCGCATACAGTTGGTGGGAAATCAAACGTTGAAAAACAGCCTGGACATGATGAACGTGTGTCTAGAGAGAATCTGAGTAAATGAGAATGTTGTCGATATATACTATGACCCATCTGCTGAGCATATCATGGAAGACGTCACTGATGAAGGCCTGAAACACAGAGACTACTGACTAGCCCAAATGGCATGACGCGATATTTGTAGTGCCCAGAAGCAGTGGAGAAATCCGTTTTCCATTCATCCCACTCTTGAATATGGATCAGGTTGTAAGCACTGCGCAGGTCCAGTTTGGTGAAGTGTTTGGCTGTGTGAAGCTGTTCGAGTGCTGCTGGTACTAATGGTGAGGGATACTAAAAATTGACTGTGATCTCATTCAGACCTCTGTAATCGATGCAAGGACGGAGACCTCCGTCCTTCTTCTTGACAAAGAAAAACCCAGCAGAAACAGGTGATGTGGAGGGACTAATGAAACCCTTGGCTAATTCCTCCTCAATGTAGGCTCTCATGGCTTCTGACTCGGGTTGAGATAGAGGGAAGATTCTGCCTTTAGGGAGGGGTTGTACCAGGAAGCAGCTCGATGGCAAAGTCGCTGGGTCTATGGAGACGTAATTAGCTTTGATTTTACTGAATGCCTCTGCCAGATCAGCATACTCCAAAGGTAGGTTGGGCACTGATGGAGTCTCTATTTTTATGGTGGCTGCCTGAAGGATTCGTGATTCCACTGCCCGCAAACAAAGTTTGTAGCAGTTCTCTGACCATTGTGTGATTTGGCCATTAGTCCATGTGATTTGAGGCTCATGAAGTTGTAACCAGGGAAATTCCAGAATCACTGGATTGCCAGGAAATTGTATGAGCTACAAACTATGTTGGTATGACAAGTATGTCCACATGTCTGCATTTAGGTTTGCCTTGCCTACTGTATAATACTGATTCATTGGTAAAATGTTTACAATTTTTAACTGTTAGAATAATAATTGATTGATGATGATTTCTAATGATTCATTGCAGTTGCTGAAGAAACCATCTATGACACTCCCCCTTCTAAATGGTCATTAAATGAGGGAGAGCATGGTAGGCCTAAGTGTCTGCCCACTCACATTATAAATTTACACTGTCAAAGTTTATACATTCAACGGAATTGTTCTTCATTTACAGGAGTGACTGATAGCATTTATGATTTCCCAAACCCTGTGATTAGGAAATTGACTGAACATAGAATTGGTAAAATATATAAAATTACAGGATGACTGTGGTCATTCCTACAATATTGGTGTTTACTCTAGTGAATAGAGAATATGGGATTATTATGTGTCAGGAGCAGTGTTGGGGGTAACTCATTACAAGTAATGCGAGTTACTTTGTAATCAGATTACTTTTTTCAAGTAACTAGTAAAGTAACGCATTACTTTTTTAATTTACAAGAAAATATCTGAGTTACTTTTTCAAAAAAGTAATGCCAGTTACTTTGTTTTCCCATTTATTGACTGACAAGTCTCCTGTCCCCATATTGGGAGAAATCGGAAGTGCAGAGGAATTGTGTGCGCTGTGTGAACATGATGTTACTGTAGTTCTAGACTAAATGTGAAATAACTAGGTCAGATTTATATATTTGCTATATTATGTACCTGAAAATGAAATGTACTTACCAAACACGTACCAGTGAATGTGTGATGACTTTTTTTGCAGAATCTCACAGCAGTAGTGAGAGGCCTGAGAGTGGTGGTCTTCTGAGTGACATGATTGCCTGTTTGGACAGTGAATCTGCTGCCTGGGTCAAACCTACTCCTCCATGAACCTCATGGGTCATTTTGAGCAAGACTGAGATGATGATAAATGTTTGTTGTTGCAGTAAACCTTAATATTGTTTATGATAATTCTGTTTGCCATCCTAACTGTCATCACTTATGTAGAACAATGACTGTACATTGTGGAATTTCAAACTGTCCCTAATCATTTAAGCTAAATAGTGAAGTATCAATAACATATCTTTTGTCCTGTCACAACTCAAAATAAATTTAATCAAACATATTAACTTTTGGACAGAATGTTTAAACCTGTTGTTTTGCAGATTTGCAAGACAAATCTATTTACATTTTTTACAAAGTCTATTTAAATGGTTCACCCAAAAATGAAAATTCTGTCATTATTTATTCACCCTCATGTTGTTCCAAACCTGTAAGACCTTCGTTCATTTTCGGAACACAAATTAAGATATTTTTGATGAAATCCGAGAGCTTTCTGGCCCTCCATAGACAGCAATGCTGAAATGTTTCCAGACCCAGAAAGGTAGTAAGGACATTGTTAAAATGGTCCATGTGCCATCAGTGGTTCAACTGCAGTTTTACAAAGCTACGAGTATAGTTTTTGTATGCAAAAAAAACAAAAATAATGACTTTATTCAAAAATTCTTCTCCTCCAAATCTCGCCATTATCGAGAGAACCTCTGCACGTAAACAAGGCATGTGCGTGGTGCTGCTGATGTAGAACATGCAAACCCTGCACTTTGTTTATGTGCAGAGGAATGCACACACATATGTCGTGGTTGCTGTCTATGGAGGGTCAGAGAGCTCTCGGATTTCATCAAAAATATCTTGTGTGTTTTGTGTTTTGTTCTTTAAATGTGTGTTTTGAAGATGATCGAAGGTCTTACGGGTTTGGAACGACTTGAGGGTGAGTAATTAATGACAGAATTTTCATTTTTGGGTGAACTATTCCTTTAATCCTGGTAAAGAAGTGAGAATCTTGTCCTAATATATATACATGTTAAGGTGAAAGCCCCTACAGGCAGTGAGGTGTCATTACATGATACTGAAGGACTTGGGGTAAAGCTTGTCCTACTGTATGTCAAATAGTTTAAAATTGAGAAGAGTGGGATTTCTTTTTTACGGTGGACAGGTTGGACATTCTGATCTAAAATTAGCCACTGCACCATGTCTAAGCAAAAAGATTGTAATTGTCATTTTAAAAATGGGATTTTTCTACTAACTTTTTTAATATTTCTCTCAACAGAGTGAACATATTGAGGTTCACCACATCAAATGTTTTAGGATTAAAAAGTTCAAATAGACAGTTAAAATAATAAAGGGATGTTTTCTATGACAGTTTGACAGATGTAATTTAATTTCCCCAGCTTTCATTTGAAGGGAAAGTTGTCAAAAATAACAGTAACGGGTGAATCATGTATAGTAAGTGATGTATTTATCATGAAATTGGGATACGCAAGCTTGGGGACATAAGAAAAATGGTCATATGTGGTGGTTCAAATGCTGTAAAATGTCTCCAACAATTATTTTCTTTAAACCAACTTCAATATGCTTAGAGTTTAAATGGTGTTGATTTGTTTGACTAAGAGAGCTTTATAATGGCTATTGTTCAAAAGTTTAATTAAGTAAGATCATGATCTTTACTAGGAACACAAAAGGCACTAAATCCCAGGAATGGCTCACATACATACACCCAATCTATAAGCATTGATGTATGGTCACAAAAATATGTAATTATTAAACATTTTCTACATGTTTAAGGCACAAGTGTAGGAACCACTGCAAATGTGCATCTAAAGGAAAAATGCCATCTGTTAAAAATACCCATTATGGTGTGACTGCACTTGTGCATTGGCTGGTCTAGCCTAAAACATAAGCTTTTTTAAAATTCTATTTGAGCATAAGGAACAACATTCACAGGGCAGTTCATTTCAGATTTTGTTGCTGATTTGAAATATGTAATTTAATTGTGAGTTCACCAGGCAGGTTTTAAGATTTCAGAATTCACCATTCATTTAGATGGGACTTGGTCTTGGATGCCCGAAATAGCTGCCCAAAATAGCTGCCCGGAGGCATGGCAAATATGGCCACCGAGTCAACAGACTTTCTTTGAAAGGGACTTTGGTTGAGCTAATGTAAGTATGTTGTTTTTGCCCTTTTCTTAAGTAATCTGTGAACCACGACAAACATATTTAGAGGGTCGATTGCAGGTACCACTGTGTGAATGAAGTTTTGATTTGCCTCATGCTCCTAACATTTCTATTGCATTAGCAAATTATTAGTTGTAAGTTAAACGGGTTCCATTAGATTTTGTGTATTCAGCTGGCTAAATCAAATATGGCTTTCCATTATTTGTATGAATTAGACGTGGAAGGAGGTAAAGTTAGTCTGACCCTGCTATGCAACATGAAGTGATATGTGATATGTTCATTTAGAGAATATAGCAAGATATAGCTAAATCAAATCATATCATGTTGTAGACATTCCATGTACACAACTGATCAAAGTATTTTTTTCTATGAACATTTTATTTCCACTCCTGCAGGTTACACAGAAAGCAAGAATGAGACACATCCTGTAAAAACCTCTTTAAACTAAGACTATTCAAAGCAAAAAAGTATTTCAGGTTTGTTTCATGTGACCTTTTTATTTGTGACAACTTACTACTATACTATTAAATAAACTTACACACTGGCAGTATAAAACCATTCAAATAGATATGGCTCAAATATAGTAAACTATTTTTCTTTGTTTCAGCACTGATGGCACAAAAACTTTGAAACGCGCTTCTTGAATATTCTTCACAGAATGGGTGAGTATTTATAATTAGAAAAAGTCTTCAGATGAGCTAATTCTTATAAATTTAGAACCATAGAGCATATTCTGTAGTTTCAGTTCAGGATACATAGTAATATTGTTCTTTTAATTAGCCTTTGTAACACTTTACATGTACATTTGCCTTGTGAGAGCCCATTTCCTATACTCATAAATAATTTAGGACAATTATATTCCATACCTTGTTCAGACTGGAATGAAGACCACGTCAGCTCATGGTTACAGGCTATTGGGATTAAACCAGAGCACATACAGAAACTTAAGGCAGAAGAGGTAACAGGACCTGTTCTTCTAAATATTAATGAATCATACTTAAAAAAACTTGGTCTGGGAGGTGGCCAAATTCAGCTCTTGCTGAGTAAAAGAGATGAACTGTTGGACAAGTCAAAAACCATTAAAAAGAGAGGAGAGAACAGAGAAGAAGCAAAACATGAAGTTGTGTCTTCCAGTGACGTCACAAGTCCTGAACAACCCTTATTATCAAGTGATTTAACTGAAACATCTGTGTCTTTGCCACAGAGTAGGTATCGGAAATTTAATGATAATGATGAACACTTCAGTTACATAAAACATGCCATACTCCCACCAGAGACAGGAATAGACAATCTGATCACCCCATGCCATGAGTATAAATCACTGGAAAATGCCTGTAAATTAGAACTAAGAAAGCTAAAGATCAAATTTGCCAGTGAAGTCATTCAGTTTGCATGTGCGTGCATGAATATGCGTGCAAATGGCACAATCCACTTTGGGGTCATGGACAAGACAAAAACATCATACAAACATGGAGAGATAATTGGAATTCCCATTGAAGACAAAGAGATCTTTCAAGAAGCTCTAGACTACATTGAAAACTGTTTTCCAGCACTGCACTCTGATGCCAGAAAGTGTATCAAGACCCCAAAATTTATTCCAATAGTTGACAAAAGCAGTCAGACCCAAAACTGGATTGTGGAAGTGGATGTAGTTCCCATGGTAAACATTGTGAGGGATAAACTGTATGGTGCCCGTATACCAAAGTTCAACGAGAAAACCAATAAAGTTGAATATGAGCAAAAAGCTTATTATCAAAGAGTTGGACCAAATACGCCACGTATTACTGAGGATGAACATGTCAGTTTCATTCAAGCTCTCAAAGATCTCGACCAAAAAAGAGAACAGGAAGAAAACAACCAGAATCAAACACAGGCTCATTTTAAAGAGGACTTGGAAAGAAAACTCTTAGTTCTTCTGACACGTGGGAAGAAATACATGGACAATACATTGCGTTACATCCTTGTGTCAAATAGATTTGATCAAGAAAACCTGCAAAACATCAAGTTCCTTGCCCAAATGAATATCTTTTGTGTTTTTGATTATGACCCTGACTCCAAATCATCTGGACTTTGTCACAATTACAAAGAGCACCATGCAGTAAACCTTCACTTCCTGCATGATTATGATCATAGGGAGAACACTGTTGACTTAATCAAGAAGTTACAGCTCTTTGACAGAACAAGCTGGATTTTCTGCAATGGTCGAAGTGATTACAATGGAGGTGAGAGTCCTTGTGATGAAAAAACCTGGATCAAAACCAAGAAGAAACTATTGAAAAGAGCTGTATCTGTTATCTGCAATGAAATTCTTCCCAAAGGATCATTTGTGGTGCTTTTCATTCTCACATCTGACGTTGAACAACCCCTTGTTGACACCTTCCATGAATTCTATGCAGAAATGAGCGGCCATGAGGACATAGTCATCATCTCAGTGTCAAGGGAGAATTATAAGAAATGGTCAAGCCTTGCCCAAGTGTCCTGCTCACTCGACACTCTTGAACAAATCAGTGTTGTTGGTATGCCAATGAGTCACGTAAATGCTACAATTCAAGTCCATCAGCTCACCTGTCATCAGGATGGGTGTCTACCTGTGTCAAACAATGGAGTATGCTTTATAAAGTCTGTGGATGTGGAGCATATGAACTCCTTAGAAGTTGTCTGTGTTGACCAGTGTGACGAAACAAATGTGAATCTCATGGAGCAAGAGCAAATACAAAAAATTGAACAATACTTCTATCAAGGAGGAAAAATTGATTGGGTGAATATGTGGCTAGCTGACAATAATAAATGTGAGGAAGTCATCAAACGTGATGCATATGCAGAAATTAACAAAATGTTGGAAGACCTTGAGCGGAGTGACTCATTAAAACGGTCCATTGAAAACATCAACATATATCATGAACCTGGTAGTGGAGGAAGCACAGTGGCTCGACAGATCCTCTGGAACTGGAGGAAAAAAATGCGATGTGCTGTTGTTAAGCAGTCGTACCAGGCCACAACTGTCTGTGAACATGCCGTACAGCTTTGGAATTACGAAGAAGTTGACAAGAATGCCTGTTTACCTGTTCTTCTGCTGCTAGAGGATTGCAATGCAGACTATCAGGATGACCTCAGACGAGAATTAAGCAATGCAGTCACAACAATGAAAATAAGTCCATCAAAGCTGTGTTTCATCATTCTCTGTTGTAAAAGGTCTCTTGATCCAGAAAGGATGTGCACAGCGTTGCCGTTACGCACAGTCGGAGTTACACACAAACTATCTCCAGCAGAAAAGAAGCTCTTCTCAAAGAAAGCAGGGAGTCTCAAGCTGAAGTTTGAACCAGAGTTTATACTCACTTTTGTGCTCATGAGTGAAGAGTTTGAACAGTCTTACATCACAGGCTTTGTTGAAAACCTGCTGAAGGAAATTGATCATTCATCTCTTCAGACACAGTTGATCAAATTTGTGGCACTACTGAACAGCCACATTGAGAATTCATACCTATCTATATCACACTGTGAGGCATTCCTAGGTTTAGGAATCCACTTGGACAAATTTGATAAAATGGCCAAACCGTCAACATCCACATGGATTGATGAAGTTCGACACCAGACATTCGAAAATTCCTTAAGTGAGCAGGCTAGGTATTTTTTTATACAGCTAAAATCCAGTGAGACGCATATCTCCTCTGTGAGAATAATTCATCATTTGATAGCTAAGGAGATCCTGAAGCAGCTCTCCAGTTATCAGAGCCAAAGTGAAATAGCAAGGAGTCTGCTTCAGGACAAAGTGCTGTTTGACCACAGATTTGGAAGGGATGACTTTCGAAAGTTTGTCAGAGATCTGTTCATCAAACGCACCAAAAAAAGCAAGGGAGATCCAAATGACAGCTGGTTTTCTCCTTTAATAGAGCATGTTAGGGAGACAGAAGATGTGGAGAAAGCCATTGACCTTTTAAAGCTAGCTTACACTCGTTTTGATGAGGATGCATTTGTTGCTCAACAGCTTGCACGGCTGCTTTATGAAAACAGACATTTTGAGGAAGCTGAGATTTGGGCTAAAAGAGCCAAGTCTCGTCTTCC